CTCTGGCCTATACCCCAGTTCTGTATGCACAAATAAATAAATCTTTAAAAAAAAAAAAAGAAAGAAAGAAACTGAAATTAAAAACTGAAGAGAAATAAAGTCTACCTTTATTCAAACTTAAAATCACATGCTTGGAAATAGACATATCCTATTATAGTTTCCAAAGTTACAATTAAGGAATATTGTGATAATATACAGTGGGCAAGAGATTTTTTAAAGACCTGTTAAAATAACATTCTGCTAGCAATGAGCACATTTCCCATCCATATATTAATTCCCAAGTGCCACTAAATGAAATTAGAGCTTCTTGGAGAAATCAGTGTTGAAACTGAGGAAGTACTCAAAGGGTAATGAGACATAGAGACAGGCTTGAAAAAACTCCCAAACACCAAATTAGAGACAATTTGAGAAGAAATGATAGATAATGAGGATAACACAATGAATCAAGATATAAAAATCTATGAATCTATAGAGATGAAAAAAGGGGCAAGACTGGAAAAATACAAGTATGCAAATTAATAAATGTGGAGTAGTAGACTACAGATCACTATTTGTCATCAATATAATAACTAAATTAGGCAAAAATCATCAACAACATTTCAAAACCATTAAGAAGATTATTGGAGAACAAATATCAATGGAGTCTGAAATTATTACTCTACATATTAATTATAAGGGAAAAAAAGCCTGCTTTGAACATCGCTGTACAGTGGTCCCAGTTTCTGACATCAAGTCCGGCAGTTTGAGCCTACTATTATGTTCTCCCCATGTGATGCAGTGGGAGCCTCAGAAGGCACCTGTGTGGTGTTCTTGCTAGAAGCCTTTGACTCTAACTATGAGGAAACGGACACAAGTAGACGTACAACAGTTGGGTCAGATTCCTTGAAAGAAGTGTTCTCATGAACAGAATGCAGTGGGAGGTGGAGGAGATTAGGAAGGAGATACTCTGGATGGGCAAATGCAGTGAGTGAATCTTTAATGGATCGGGGTGGGACCTCTAGCGGTCATTTTGGGATAAAATGTATGCCTGTGTATGTGCACTGAGGCAATTTGATATGGTGTGCATGTTGGGTGATACTGACTTGATGGTTTTCCTGAGTGTGGTAAAGGTAAGGTGATTAAGAAAGATGGCCTAGTTTTGGTAGGTGGTTGCTGAAGTATTTAGGAGTGACAATGGGGTCTCTAGCCTGTTTTCAGAAGGTTTTGGTAAAAGAGTATAGAACAAGTGAACTGGTTAGTGAGTTGTTTTTTTTTTTTTTCCTAAACATCATTGCTTATTTTTGTACAAAGTTTGATTTCTCCTCTCAGGTATAAGCCCCTGGTTAGTGATTCTATAGGAGGAGAAAGGAGTTCTTATGGGTTTGAAATTTTTTCATAATTTTAAACTTTTTTTTTTTTAAGATTTATTTATTTATTTTATACAGAACTGGGGTACAGGCCAGAGATGTGGAGGGTGAGAGGATTCACCAGAGACAGAGTGGGAAACAGAACACTGCTGAGAGGAGCAGCGGGCGGGTCAGGAGAGGTCTGCCTCGCCATGTGGTCACCTCCGGGGCAGGCGGGAATCGAACTCATGCGGAAGTGGCTTTAGCTTCTCAGTGCTGTGCTTTAACCCGATGCGCCACCAGGGAGGGCCTAAACTTACTTTTTTTTAATAATAGTTTGTTTTTACATCATCTTGTGCTTTTTTCCACCTCAGTTGTAATCCCCATGGATTTCCTATCACCTGTTCACCTGTGTGCCATCACCATAGTGATGGCACTTCCCCCAACCCCCCATTTTTTATCCCATTCTTCACCCATGTAACATGTCTCTGGTATATAGTTGTTCACTATTATTTTCCCCCAGCCTAGTCTTTATGCTCCTGCTATGAGTGAAACCACCCTATCTTTTTCTTTTTCTTTCTGGCTTATTTCACTAAGCATGATCCCTTCTAGCTCCATTCATGTTGCTACAAAAGGCATGAGTAAAACTTAAATTTTTTTAAAGATTTATTTTATTTTTGTATTCAAGAAGTAGGGTATAGACCAGAGGAGTAGGGATTAGTGAGGGAAAGAGGATTCACTAGAGACAAGTGGGGAGCAGACCAGGCATATCTATTGAAATACACTGCTGAGGGGAGCAGCAGGCCAGTCAGGAGGGGTCTGCTGCACCATGGTTGGGGATCCAACTCATGCTGCAGCGGCTGCTGACAGTTTCAATGTTGAGACTTTCTCCCTCAAAAAACTTAATTTTTAGAGTTAGAGGTGGGTTATTCCAGAAAAATGTTAGCTATAATGATAAAAGTATACACAAAAAAATTGTGTTGGAAGACCTTTGATTTTAAATCTCAGTGGGACTTTAATAATTTAGCATATGCCCCTTTTCAAATAAATAAATAAACTTGATACAAATATAATAACAAAAAGAAACCATTTCAGAGTTTGTTTTGGAATTAAAATGGGGCTGTCTTGCCTGTAGATTGGGAATTTGTCACTTTAAGAAGACCCTCCTTGGGGCCTCCCTTGAAAGCCTGAGAGTTTGATCCTCGGCCAGGGAGCTGACCTACATATAGCACAGCAGACCTCTCCTGTCTTGCTGGCTACCCCCTTAAGTATTGTATTTCAGTAAAATCCACCTGTTCTGACCCCTATTCTGTCTCTGGTGAACCCTCTCACTGCCTGCACTCTAGCCTATACCACCGTTTTCTTATGGGGGAAAAAATCTTTCAGCTTAAACCTGTTCTAAAAACTGTAGCTTAAACTAAGTAAACTAAACTGCAGTTTCCACAGTAAATTAATCCTGTGGAAACCTTACTGACTAGCATTGTTGCCCCATGACTTGCTGGTCATGATTCAGTGATAGTGTCCTGATGTACCATTTTGATACAGCAAAGAAGGAAAAAAGTAGGTTGTTAAAAAAAAATATATGAAACAATCTCAAATTTACAGAACAATATTAAGAACCTTTCTGCACTCCATTTGAGTGTTTGCTGCTGGTGTCGGGTCACCCCTTAGTACTTTAGGGTTTATTTCCTACAAACACATTCTGTATAACTACAGTATAGTTATCAAAACCAGGACATGGATTAATACCTTACTGCCGTATCAATATTCAAACTCTTTTCAAGCTTTTTAATTGTCCCAAGATGTGCTCCACAGCAGAAGAATCCAGTACAGAATTACTCTTCTTCAGACGTCTTCATCTGGAAAATTATCTTAGCCTTTTTTTTTTACCTTCATAGCTTTGACTCTTTTGAGGAATTCAGACCAGTTATTTTGTTGATGTCCTTCACTTTGGGATGTCTATTTCTTCATGATGTATCTTTGTTGGAAATATCACAGAAGTGATACTTCTTCTGTGTTCTCATTACATCTGGTCAGACTGCACTTTTGTTTGGTTCTGTTACTGTGAATTTCACTTGATTAAGGTCAGGTGTCTGCCAATCTTCTCTATTCTAGAATTATCTTTTTTGGCTTTCATAATTAATCATTACTTGGGGGGGTTACATTGTGATTATATATATGTCTGTCTCTTATATATGTCTGTCTGCATGTATTCATGGTTCACCTTCTTCACCCTTTCTGTATTTAACTTTCTTTTCTGACAGTAAGAAATCTGGTTCCTTTTTCCTTCATATATTTATATGTTCACTCACCCTGTGTATAGCCAATTTCACACTACTGTCATTGTTGCTCCCCCATCCCTCCATAGAGCCCCATCATGCTCTTGCCATCTATCCACCTATCCAGAAACTTGCCTCACCTAACTGGGTTCAGATTTCTGTTTTAGTCCATTCTCACCCTACCGCCCTCCTCTGCTGGTTGACTACGTTTTTCGGTCAGAGGTCAAGGGTTTGTTATTAGTTTGGTTTTGTCTGGCCCTTTGTTTTATTTCTCTACATGCCACATAAAGTGAAACCATTGGTATTTGACTTTCTCCTTCTGACTTATTTCACTTAGTAAAATCCAGTTTCATCCCTGTTGTTGCATATAGCCAGTTCATTTATTTTTATAGCTGAGTAGTATTCTATTATATGTATACATACACACACCAGATTTTTCTGATCTACTCCTCTTTCTGTACACACTCTGGTTGTTTCTGTAACTTAAGCTATTGCAAAAGAGCTGCAATGAACATAGCAGTACATATACCCCTTCAAATTCATGTTTTACATTCTTTGGGTAGGCACCTAAGATTGGAATTGCTGGGTCATGTAATAGTAACTATTTTTAAAAGTTTAAGAAACCAGGCCCTCCCTGGTGGTGCAACAGGTTTAAGTGCAGCACTGCAAGCTAGCCGCAGCCACTTCAGCCTGAGTTTGATCCCCGCCTAGGGAGTTGTTCTACATGGTGCAGCAGACCTCTCTTGTCTTTCCTGCTGCTCCCCACAGCAGTGTACTTTGCCCATCTGCCTGCTCTGCTCCTCACTCTGTCTCTGGTGAATCCTCTGTACCTCTGGCCTGTACCCCAGTTCTGTATGCATGCATAAGTAAATCTTT